CTTTTCTGAGCCCTGAAGTAGATGAGCAGCCCCACCCCGAGGAAGAGCAGCCCCAGCACGAAGCTCCCGGCTCCACTCAGCACCTTGCTCTGTGCGGATCCAGACCTGGTCCCTGAGAGAAGAAGCAGGTTTCAGTGGGTTTTAGCCCAAAGCAACTTCTCTAATGGAGACCCTGGGATTGAGAGCTTGGGAGGGAGAGGGGTTGGGGAGGGGGGGCTGCCCTAGAAGAAGCAGAACAATAGCCATTTCCGGGAAAGAGAGTGAGGTCACACTGAGCAGGTACAAGGCCCAGGCACTGGCCTCAGGTCCCCTCACTCTCCACCCAAGGCCACTGCTTCGGCCTCTGAGGCTGTGGAGCCCGGGGCTGGTGACCTTCAGGACGTGGCCCGGGTGACAGAGCCACAGACGGCACAGCAGACGGGGCTCTCCCGCGGCAGGAAGGCCCCCAGGCTGTGGAGGACGCTCCTCTTCCCAGATCACAGGGGGCAGCTCAGTGCAGGCCGAACCACCTGCCCAGCCCACAGGGGATGGTGCCCAGGGCCAAGGGAACCATGAAGGGGAGAGTGTGGGGAATTCAGAGCAGGGCAGGCATAGCGGCCTCCCAGGGCTGTGGGTGTTCACAGAAGCCATCACAGGGCTACCCTGTGGCCTGTGCTGAAGGAGAGACAGAGCAAAGGAAAACGGGGTGTGGGGAGAGGGGACCCTGACCCTCAGGGACAAGCAAAGGCCCCTCTGGGTTGGAGGTGTGTGAGGTCAGAGGGCGTCTCACTCCATTCCACGGTGACAGAGCTGGTGCTGCTGGGGTGCCGCACTTGGCAGGTGTAGACCTCCCCACGCAGGGGAACTGTCTCCAGCATCACCAGGGTCTGGAAGGTCCAGTCCCCGTTCAGGATCAGGCCCGTGGACACCACCCCGGCCTCCTCTTCCTGGCCGTTGCGCAGCCAGCGGACCTCAATGTGGCCCGGATAGAAGCCGCTCACGGAGCAGACCAGGAGGTTGTGGTGCTGCAGGCGCTGGGTCTTTGCAGGATACATGGTCACTGTGGGCTCAGCTGGGACAGAGAAGGCGGAGGGAGACGTGAGCAAGACAGGCAGGCCCTTTGGTGGCTCCCTTTCGGCCTCATCTCCAGTCCTGGGCTCCAGGCCCCAGCAGGCCCCCCTCCTACCGCCCTGTGGCCCCGCAGGAGGGAGTGCCATGGGCCCTG